GAGGGGAGTTCTCTGCTAGGGTCAGTCAGCTGGGCTTGCATCTCATCATTGTTTCTGCTTTCCATACATGCAGAGATGTAGGGCTGGTGTGGCTAAAAGTGACCCATATCTGACTGTGCTTTGCAAGTAATGCCTGTTCCAAATGCTGAGGTGAATGGCAGTGAGTGCAGCTGAGGAGGCACTTGCAGTGAGTTTCTTCTGTCCCTCTCCTCTGTCCTTTCCTCTGAAAAACAACAAAGAAGTGTTTATATATCCTTTTGCTCTCCTAATGAGTAGAATGTATTTAATGCATGAGGGGTTTTTTTCTGTGTCCTGATGAACACAATGAATAACCTGAAATGCTTTTCTCTGCAGATGTGGAAGCTATCCCAGAAAGCAGAAATTCAAAAAGCAGGTCTAGGGAGCAACAAAGCTCCTAATTCTATTCCCCACTACATGAGCTGTGGGCCAAGTGGTGAGTTTCCTGCCCAGACTGTAAATGAGATGAATTTCATTTACAACAAACTAACAGCATTACATCTCAGACCCAGAGCACATTGCATTAACCAGATGTAAATACTGCTTTGCTTAACTGGCTTCTCTCGCGCTCACCGGTTAGGCCAGGACTGACTAGTTAGGCCAGGACTAGCGGCCCTCAGGAGGGAACCTCGTCCCCTTCAGCCTTTTGCCTGTTAAAAAAATGCCATTTCTTTTGATTTTTTTTTTTGCCACATCTCACAAAGAAGGTCCAAAGAAATCCCATTAAGAACCAGTCAGTTCTTAGAAAGGGAGCAGATAAATCCTGCAGGGAGCAGTTGGACAAAGCCCCCCCAGGTGTGGAGTGGCCCCCGGGCCGTGCCTTTGTGTGCTGCTCTGTCCTGAGCCCCTGTCCTGCATGCTCTAGTGCTGTTAGTTCTGTTCTAGTGCTGACCTCTGTGTTGTGCCTCTGCTCCTGCAGCTTTTTCTCACGTTCTTTTCTCTTTCTGCCTTTCGACTGCACACAGAGAGAAAAGTGTCCTTCAGTATCTCAGTGTGAAGCCTTTATATCTGAAGTAACAAGACAGCGACTGTAGGAGTCATTAATAAAAAAAAAAAAAAATTGAGGGAATTTTGTACATCCTTCGTGACTAGAGCAGGCAAGACATAAAAAAACCTACCTACCTTCCTTCCTTCCTTGAATCAAGGAGCTCTACTGGAGTCTACTGCCGAAAATGTGTAGATGGGCTTAGGAATTATTGCACATTGCACTGTTAAGATCTACTGAATAAAGGACAGTTCTCATCTCCCTAAGGACCGAGGATTTTAAGGTCTCAAGAATTACTCCAGGGAAAAAAAAACAAAACAAAACAAACTTCTTTCATCTTCTGTTTTTGAAATTAGCCACTGATTTGCTTAAGCTTCTGCTAATAATTAGCCAAAAACCCCCCATAACTGGCAGTTTCTCTTTACGTCTGTAAATCTAAAGGAAATGCTGTAGTATTTTGTTGAAATGGACTGTATATACAGATACAAAAACCTCACAGCTACTGGCACTTCACTGCCTTATTTGGTTTGCATAATCTGCATGAAATTGCTCTTTAAAAGAAAAAAAAAGTTTATGCTGATTTTTTGTTGCATACTGCAAGAGAAAAAAAATTTGTTTACATCCATGGGAAAGTTGGGGGACTAACAGAAGTGGGAGTCATGGGATAATGGTGTTATAGAGAAACTGTTTGTCTTTTGTGTTTTTTCACCTTCCCCAGTTACTCTGCATATGTATGTTCAGATGTTTCTGACAGGAAATTGTCAGGTCTGAGTTTTCCATAACGTTTATTTTAATATGAGGCTGTTTTCCACAAATGCCATTTCCAGGTTACGACTGTCTTACGATGTTTCTGTATTGACTAATTCTTTTTTTTTTATTATTGTTTGTCTCTTGACATGAGCTGATTGTGGCTTAGGAGGTTTCTTGATGGCAAAAAAAAGAAATGTAAATAATATCATATGCATTTTACAATCAGTTCCCTTGAAGGTTCTCTTTTACTAGATCCGTTTTGTTCGTTCTTGATTTCTATTAAAGTCAACAGATGTTCTTGGTACCTTCGGTGGTCGCATATATTTGTGTCTGGGAAGATTTGCAGCGAGCTCAGAGGAAATGGAGAGGAGCTGGGATGCAAAAGGAGTTGTTACACGTTATTAAAACCAATATAAGCACATTCCTATTCCTGTTGTGGAAGGTTCCATTCCCTGTGTCACCTCCCAGGTGCAGAAGGTCCCCTCCATCCCCTCAGTGACGGTGAGCCTGACTCTGCTGAATGCAGTTCAGCAGATCCAAAAGCGTGAAATCCTGTCAGAAAGGGGAAAAAAGAGACAAGTTCAATAAGCTTTAGAAGGGGACACTTTTTTTGCTTTTTTTTCTTTAAAGGGACTTCCTTCTGAAATATTTTTTATGCTGAAATGGGCTAAAAGATCTACGCTAAAGGCGTGGTGGGTATGAAAGAGAATTCAAAGACCATAAACATTAGGAAAATATCTCTTTAATTCTGAAGGACAGCATGTTCAAGCTCCTTTCAGGGCCTGTGACTGGGTTTTCCTTACTGAGGGCAGAGGACTGATGCAGTTCAAACCCCCAAACCATTTAACAGCGTTCCTGTTTTTAGGAGTGTTGTTTCCATCACACAGGAATCCCCTCACGTCTCATTGATCAGCTCACGCTCTTCTCTGGAGGCATCCAGTTGTCCAAGGTTACCCTTCCCAGCTCCCACACTTTGCTTTTTGCACGGTGTTGCACCTTCTCAAAGCATCTGTGGGGTCACAAACTGTACAGCTGCTGTTTAACTCATCCCTTGGACCAGAAATGACCCCCATCCAAAACCCTCCGAGGAGGAGATTTGGGGGGCAGGATTCTCCCTGGTGGGTCAGCTCTGGGTGCCCAAGTCCTGCCAGGGCCCCTCTGTGCCATCCTGAGCAGGTTTGCACCCACTTTGTCTCCATCAGCACAAAGGCCACATCAGCACAAAGTGAGATTTTGGGTTGTATTTGCCAAATTAGCCACGAGCAGCAGCAGAGACACGGGAGCACGTCAGGGATTTAATCTTGCTTCTCCCAGCACTTTGTCTTGCAGGGAAGTTTCGGGACAGCCCAGCAGTCAGGAGGGTCTGGGAGCTGCTGATTCCTGCTTGCTTTTTCCTTCCTTCCTCTTCCCAGTCGGTGCCCTTAAAACAAAGTAAAAAAAAGCAGATTTGGGAGCCACTTCTCAGTTCCTGAAACACGGAGGAGTCTCAGGGAAGCAGCAGTTGGAGGCCCAGCTTTGTCCCCCCTGGAGCTGCCGAACCCCTCAGTGCCAGGTCCAGGTTAGGAAGGAGGTTGTCATGCTATACCACGTGTATGTTTTATTTACTTTTCTGATAGTCTGTGAGGATTTAGTAACATTCCCAACAGGTACTATTATTTCTAAACGTTTTCCAGGACATGATGCAGCCTAAACAAAGGAGCTCATGTGTGATTTTATTTTTTATTTTTTTTTTTTTTTAGAGGTAGCTGATGATGTATATGTAAATAATGCTTTGATATTAATAAAACTGCCTTAAAGGAATGTACCTAGGTGTGAAACAGAACTTAAAAAGCTCTTATTTAAACTGTAATTTCCTTTACATATTGATTTTTTTTTTAATGTTCGCCATTGTATACATTTATTAATGATGTTATTAAAATGCCAAACCAAATAATTTTTATCCTTATTTCGTTGTGTGTATGTTCATACACACTTTTTTCTGGAAACTGATGTTGCTGGCAGGGTGTTGGTGTCGTGGTCAGTTGGTGATGTGTGCAGTGAGTATTTTCTTCTGGAAGGAAAAAAAAACCGATAAAACTGTAGCAGAATTTTTCTGGACCGTGTGTGTAGTTTGTTCTGTGGGATTTGTGTAGACCTGGGTAGCTTTTAAGTGTACACTGTTTTGATACTTTTATTTTAAAAAACCCAAAGAAAACAACACTGATTTCGTAAGTAAAGACAAAAAGAAATCATTATAGATTTGACAAATGTATTATTTGAAGCTTTAGTTCTGCTTGGGGGTTATTTTTGCTGAGCCAATCTCAGGATTCCCCCCCGAGGATGGCAATAGTTACACTTCAGGCAGTGCAGGTTCCAGGATTGTGCACGTGCCTTGAAATCAATTCGTCACATTTAAAACATTCCAGAGTTAAAAACGTTGACAAGTCAAATCTAATCCTCATTTTTTAAGGGGTAAGGGATTTTTGGGGTAGAAGAAAGAAGAAACCTTTAGGGGGAGGGAGAGTGAGTGGCCGGCAGAGGGCAAGGTAAATGTTACTGGGTACTTTTCTAGTGACTCTTCCTACAGCTGCAGCATTTTTAGGTCCCTTCTTTCCCACTGGAGATGAGTCCCATGATAGCTGGGGTTGGTTTGTGGCTGACAAGGTGCAGGGAGGAATCTAAACTGCTGGATGCTGAAGTGTTCTGTTGCCAGGAGCTCTGAGAACAGGTGCCAGATCCTTCCAAAACGCAGGAAACCACGGTAAGGAGGCGGGTGAAGGAACTTGCCTTGCCCTAGAAGACGCTTTTTCTTACTCAGATAGTAGTAATTGTTCATTCTTCCAAGATCACAACTCCTTTGATGTGTTTTTAATCCCTGCTCCTGTGGGTTTGATTTCTGTTCACCTCAGCTGCCCTGTGACATTTTCATTAGGCTGCATCCAAAAGCCTTCACCCCCCACCACCTTCAGGTTCCATCCCTCACTTTCACTGCTCCCCTCTCTTGATGTCAAGTTTAAACCTTCAAGGCCAGTCCCACACCTGGGAAGTTCCAGTTTTATCTGTTTCATTAACAAAGATTATAAAATTATTTAAATAATGCCTTTTATACTTACCTAGTGCAAACATGATTTAATTTACACTAAGTTTATACTTAGTGCATACACATTGGAAATGTCTTTTTAAGAACATTGCTAAACTTCTAATAACTCAAAGACAGTATTTTTTCTCACTAGGTTATCCAATATAAGCTTACACAATTGAAAAAAAAATGAAAAAGGAGTAAGCCTTCCTTTTATTTGTAACAAGATTTTCGCCAGTTTTTCTCTACCAAATCTATGTCTAGTAGTAGAAAAGTGAACTTCCTCTTATTTAACATCTTCATCGAAGTGTAGGATGATGGGGTCATGGCCTGTTGATCTCACGAACTTCAGGAAGTCCTCGGGGCTTAATCCCATGGTTGCAGAATTTGTCATGGGGTGAAAATACACCTTTTCGTGGCCCCCTTCCAGCAGGGCAGCGTCCAGCACCAGCCTCACGTCCCCCTGGTCACAGAAGAGGGCGAGTGGGGTGGCACAGCCCTGGCCCACCTGGAGCTTTTCCAGCATGGAGTTCTCCTCAGCAAACCTGAGGTTCCCGCTGCCGAGGCCCAGTTTTTTAGCCAGGTCGTTTAAATTGACCTGCCTGTTGTGCAGGACAGTCACCAGCCAGAACCCTTTCTTCTTTTTGTCTTTGAGAAACAGGTTTTTACTGTGACCTCCTTTCAGGTGCTGGACGTGGGGCATCATTTCTTCCACGGTGAACACCTGGAAAACAGCACCCGTGTGGTGTGAGACTCTGTATCCCATTAGACTCCCAGCTGTGTCCTGGCAGGTACCCGCTGTTAAACACTTAGAAAATACCCGATGTTCCATCTGGCCTAAAAGCTGTACCCTTTTGTGAGGAAATTTGAACAGAACACGACTGAAATGCGACAGACTGCTGCTGGATAATTTCTGTGTTGTCACACAGCAATATCTCACTTTAAGGCAGCTCTGAGAGTGCTGTTTGCAGCCCCGTTGCACACACACGGCAGTGACGTGGCACGTGGAGCGAGGAAAAGCTTGGAAAGCAGCTTGGATACTGTTTGTAGGTGTCAGGGGAAGGAGGGCGGTGGGTTGTGTCTCCTCAAACTGCTGCGGAACTGGAGGGGAAAAGGGGAAGTCTGGAGGCAAGAGCAGTCAGTGCGATCCCAAAACAAACCCCCAAACGTTCCGCCAGGCCCCGCGTTTGAAGTTCCCCATTGATAACTACCCTGAACACCGCGCTCGGGGCCTCATCCCGTTCCCTGCCGGGTTCCCGGGATGCCGGCGGGCTGTGCCTGCCGTACCTGGGGGTGCTCGGCCGTGACGGTGGCGATGCCCAGATCCCGCAGCCGCCGCTCCAGCGCCTCCCGCAGCTCCGGCCCCGCCGCCATCGCCTCCCGCCGCCCCTTCCGCCGCGGGAGCCCGCCCAGGAGCGGCGGGGAACGGGCGGATGCCGTAAATCCGAGTTAATTCACCGAGGAACAACCCCCCCGGGGCTCAGCCTCCTGCCGCCCTCCCACCGCACAAAGGTCTCCATCGCACCCGCACCTCCCCTCCCGCGCAGCTCAAGGTATGTCGTGTCTCTTAAAACCACCTCCTGCTCCGACACACATCCGCCGTGAACTACATTTAATGTTGGTTTCGAGCCAGATCTTCCTCTCAGACTAAATTAACCTATTCATTTTTAATCTGCGTGTCCTTACTGTGATTTCAGGTTCTGGCGCGTTGCTTGTATATCGTGCTGAAAACGTTGCTGCTAAATAAGGAAGTTAAGAAAAATTCGAAGCTAAAAAAAAAAAAAGAATCAAAGTAAGGTAAACTTTGTGAGACACCTGATTTTTTAAAAATTTTTTTAAAGGCATCCAGTAATAATCAGGAATTGCGACTGAGGGACAAAGCCAAGCGTTAACGGCCACAGAGTTAAGCGGAAAATATTTCTGCAACCCAAACCAACGTCCCGGCCTATGACATCTATATTTGTTTTCAGTTTGCCCCTCAGAAAAACAGGCAATCTGTAATAAAGCTTTAAATGAGAACAGGATGACTCTGTGGTTAAGAGACATGTGGGTAAAATATGATCCCACTCTAATTCCCAGAGCCTTACAGCGGTGCACGGGAAGATTTCCAGGCGGCATCCAATGGAAGATCAACTCTGAAAGCAGATTTGCTGTAAACTCTGATGGCTGTTTCGCACGCTAAATTTTATCTTTCCAATAAACCGTTTTTCGGGTCAATCCCAGGCAGTCCCAGGATGTGTTGCCCTCGGTGTGGGACTGGCTGGCAGCTCCGTGCAGTCCCCGTGCAGGAATTGCTTTTAATGCCTTTGCACAACTTTTCATATTTAAGCTTTTTTCTTTTTTTTTTTTTTTACTGTGGTTTATTTTGAGATGATTTTTCCCGTTGTAGCCATGGAGAAACACTCGAGGGCCCTGTGCATTTCAAGGTGTCGGTACCTGGAGCATTCACCAGCAGGTGGTGCCTCAGAAATTCAAACCATTTATTTTTTTTTTTCAACGCTCAGCATCATAAATGAGCAAATACTTGTAACAGAGGTACTGAGAGCAGCAAAACACGCAGGTACTGCTCAGGAGGGTATAAAACTACCTGTGTGAACTACCACAGGTCCCACATTATGGGCAAAGCGTGTAAAATGCACAGCTCAAATGTACATAAAGGAATTTATGGCCATGACACGCAGTTTCCAGTGTCTGGACGGGGATTGCAGCGCTGTCCCAAGCGGACCCTTGGGATTATCTCCGGGTCTTCCAACCATCATTAACCAGGGAACACTGAGGATTTTTCACTTATAGACCTTCCTCTTAGATTTGCGTTTATCCCAGTCCATTAAGTGGCGCTATTTTAGAGACACCAAATTAGACGGGGACGAAAAATCAGCCACGTTAAAAGCTTTAAACCGGAGGTTGGGCGGGGGGGGGACATTGGGAAGAAAATAAAACTACTAGCTCCTGGCACGAGAAAACCCAATTTTTTTATATATGTGTGAGTGCATATAGATATATTTATTTTTATATATATATATACTTTCTGCTACTTATATATACGTTTAAAACCCAAATTCCGACACCCCGGGATCAGCAGAGAACACCCCCGTCCCGTGAGGGGAATTCCCGCCTCCCTCAGGGGCTCCCGTTCCCGCCCCCTCTGAGGCGAGGCCCCGCCCCCGCCCGGCTGCGGCCGCGCTGCGCCTGCGCGGTGTCCCCGTGGCGCGTGCGCGGAGGGCGGCGCGCCGGGCGTGAGGGGCAGCGCGGGCTGAGGGCGGCCGGGGCGCCCTCAGTCCCTCCTCTGCTCTCAGTGCCTCCTCTCCCTCCCTCTGCCGCGCTGGGCGAGCCGGGGGGCTCGGAGAAGGCCACTGCCAAAGCGAGGAGGGCGGGCCGCGGCCGACAGGTATGGATTAGCCGGGACGGTGGGCAGGAGGGGCGGCGGGTGCTCCCGCCGCGGGACCCCCGGGAGCCGGGAGGGGGTTTCCACAGGCGGAGCCTCGCGGGGGGGTCTCGCCGCTGTGGGCTGGTCCGGCGTGGCCTTGACCTTGTGTTGGTTGTGTGTGTAGGCAGCGTCTTGTGGCAGGTCCGGGATTCCTCGGGCTTACACGTTCAGCCCCTTTAAGGGAACAAAAAAACCTCTAAGTAGCTGGTTTTGGTGGGTTAGTTTGTCGTCGGGTCACTTCCCGCAGGTATCCGGGTGCAAGGGAGGTTTTAAGGGGCTTGCAGCCTTCCTGGGAGGAGCCCAGGGCATTCCCTGCCTTTGGAGCTGCGGGAAGGTGCTACCGGGACACCTGGGAGAGGCACCCTGGGCACAACAGAACCGTGGAATGGGTTGGGTGGGAAGGGACCTTGAAGCCCACCCAGTGCCACCCCCTGCCATGGGCAGGGACACCTTCCACTAGCCCAGGTTGCTCCAAGCCCCGTCCAGCCCGGCTTTGGACACTCCCAGGGATCCAGGGGCAGCCACAGCTGCTCTGGGCAACCTGTGCCAGTGCAGAATTGGCAGCTCCGAGCAACAGGAGTTCAAAGGAGGACATTGTTGTATGGGATAATTAGCAAAATGGCTCAAACCAAAGTTAAGATGGTTAAAACAAGATGTGGGATGATCTGGCAGAAGCACCCTGGGAAGCCTAGTTGCTGAGCCAAGGTTTATCCTCAAAGGATATCTGTCCACACGGCAGCACTGGTGTTACTGCAGTGCCGTGGTCTTTGTGTGGTGCTTTTCTCTTTAAATGCTCAGGTAAAGAGCGTTTTGCAGGTGTGTTTTGTGGGCTTAGAGAGGTAGCTCACACCTGGATAATTCTGTCAGTGTAGCACAAGGAGTGCAAATGTCCCTTTTCTTCTAACAGATGTCAAAGGACCTGAAATGGAGGGTTTAGTAGTTTATATCAGAGATCAGTGAAAGATAACAATTTATAGTAGTTTATATCAAAGAAAGATCTGTAAGCTCTTAGTAGGTCGGTGTGTCTGCAGTGAGGAAACAGAAAAACTGGAACAGTTGCTAAATAGTTCACTCTTTTAAGTGTTAAAAAGCCTGTTTGGAACCATAACATTTGTGCCTTGTGTTCCTGTCCCTTTTATCCCGAGGAAGAACGTGTTTCAGCTCCTGGTCTCAGTGTGCCCTTTGTGTTTGCAGGGAGGAGATGAACCGAGGGCTGGTGCTGAGGTTGGAGAGCCTGGTGCAGCTCCGTGGTGCCTGCAGGCAGCTCCGGGCCCTGTCCTGCAGGAAGGTTTGGGGGGCACAATGGAAGCCTGTGCAGGCCCCTGCACACCCCCTGTGCTCCGTCCCGCTGCACCCACAGCTCTGCCAAAAACACAGAGGGATCGGTGCTGCCCTAGCACAGCGCAGACATCTGGCCACAAAGGAGGTAATTTCCAAAGCCCAGCAATCCCTGGTTTTGTGTGGAAAGTGCAGGAGCTCAGCCTGAACTTTTAAATTAAAACTAAAGAGCTTTATTCTTGAATGTAGAGAATTTGTTGTAAATTTATCAGCCAAAATGTACTTAATATGTGACTTTATTGTGATTCCCTCTCACGTAGTGACTTAGGCCAGTAGCATTGTGAATTTTGCGCAGGCGGGAAGAAATTATTAAAACCTAAACGTGAAAATGATTTTGTTGACTTCTTTTGCCCTTAATCTGAAAAATAAAAACCAAAAAAAGATTATGCTGTGTGCTATACATTATGATGTGTAAGATTTAAATTCATTGGCGTTCTAGTAAAAAAAGATGTGTTCACCTCCTATGGCTTGAGACCCCTGTCTTTTTAATGTTGTTTTTGTCATTCCCTAGTTTATGCCAGCTCTGTGTTCCTATGTACGTGTCTAATTCCATGTAGGAGGCAAAAAAGAAGAAAAGGAAGTTCCCCCTGACGAGAGGTGAAGTGGAGATAAGGCAGAAGATGACTATTGAGGAGCTGGCACGAGCCATGGGCAAAGACGTAGGTGAGAGGCTGCTCTGGGGTTTGGAACAGCAGGAGCTGCCCCACAGGTTTGTTCCTGTGACCCCGTGAACATTCCTGGCTGTACAGTGGCCCTGCTTGACCAGCTCTAAATGATATTTTAAGGGGGTTATTGGCATGCTTTACCTCTTGACATTTGAAATAATTCTGCACCTGTATAATGCCAATCTCCAGTCTCTTCCTGTCCAGCTGGGGACTTTTTCTGGCAAATTTCCCTCTCAGCAATGAGGAGAGAAGCAGAAAAGTCTGTCATGTCTTGCTGTACCTTTCTGACAGTCCCTAGGTCAGCATGTAACAATTTCTTACTGCTGCAGTGGGTTCTGCTGCCAAAGAAAGCAGCAAATGATCTGAATTATCAAATTTCCTTCCTCCTTGAATCCCTCCTTTGCTGTTTGGTTTAGATGAGTTTCCGTTGCTTTCTTTTTGGGGGGTTTAATGGAAAAGTAAGGTGTGAAAATCTGAGGGAAAAATAAGATTATAGTATTTGACAAGGCACTCAGGTTCTGTAAATCCTTCTGCATCAAGTTCTTCTCTGCAAGTATGTGGTGTGGCAGGAACTTTTAGATAAATCTAACTACAGGAAAAGTGCCTTGTGAATGAAACTTAATAGCACGATATAAACCACTAATGACAAAATCTTACACTGTATGAACTGAGTTTGGTTTTTTTGTCCCACGTTTTTTTGTGGGTGCCATTGTTAAATGCCTTTATCTTTCCCACAGACCATATTTATGAAGCACTACTGTACACAGACATTGACCTCGATTCACTGGAGCCAGATTCCATCTTGTATGAAGACCACATCAAGATGATTGTTCAGAAATCAGGAATGAAGTATAAATCAGCAAAACTGAAAGAGGAGAAGGAAAGAAAAAACACAGATGCTGTGAAAAGGCGAGTTGGGAACTGTTCTTTTTGGCTCTTTGTCTTCTGCTTC